ATCTTAGATGGCCCTTTCCAAATAGATTCCATGACTGTGAAGCAGGAGCGTTCAGGCAATTGCCCAGCAATTGCAGATCACCGGAGCTAAATGTGTCTCTCTGATCTGTCCACAGCTCCAACTGATCACTGTATACAAATTCAGCCAGTTTTCACTTTGGGCTTTACCTTTTCCTACTTTCTTCTTTAGCTGCCATCATGTGCACTGCAAAATTCTTTGTGTCTTACATTACACTCTTCAAGTTCCCACTGCATACCAAGTGGTCAGTTCCATACCACTGACAAAATCTGTCAAACTGGAAAACTGACTGGAGGAAAGAAATTTAATCATCACTGCTGACAAATGCAGAAGTTATTCACTAAAAAAAAATTAGGAAAAAAAACTATGCTTAGAAACAGCAATCTGGCTTAAATTACCTAGTCTATTTCCTCCCCTAATATGTTCCACCTTCATTGGAACATCAAACTCACCAAAACCAATGATCAAAATAGCATTTTTCTGACATTACAGAATCACTGACATCTGTCAAATTATCTTTTATCCTCTTCATTATCCCTGCAGGAGAGAAATGCATCTGTACAGACTTACTTTGACTGCCGGTAGAGAAACCAGGACATTTGAAAACCCTCTATGAAGACACTAAGACTGTGAAAGACTAATTTGATCTAATAGATTGAGTACTTCTGTTTAACTTCCTTGAACTTGGAGTGACTGCTGTGTCACTGATTTCTATCTCTGACCCAAGGTTAATACATGGTGAGCTTACAAAAGCCCGACCAGTATGCAAGTCATCTTCATGCTGGTAGATTTCACACTCAAGGCACTCAAAATCTGTTCAGATTTTTTAAAACTATCAAGTTTACACAGTATAGAAAACTGAAAGTTAACAGGCTAGAACACTAATTCTTTGAAATCTTTTTACATAAACTCATAGTTACTCCCTCTGTACTTTATCATTAAAAAAAATGAATAAATATTGCCCCTTTATAATCTGCTATAGTGCCTTATTGTGGGTCTTCATAGAAGAACAACTAAAAACTTTCCTTTTTGACTCTATGTACAATAATTTTAACAGCAAAGAATGCAGAAATACATAAACTTTACCAAACTTTAGATCCTTGTGATTTTGTACTTCCATAAAGAGAAGTACAGTCTTGTAATTAAACTGCTGCTTCAGTGGAGGTAAAGCGAATGAACTTTCAAAAAGCCCACATTAGTTTACGATCTCACATGTCAGATGTTGCTTCTACAATTGCAACTCCAGGAGCAATCTGGAGAGTCGTATTGGAAGTGTTAATTAAAAGTGCAGTAAGCACTTGTGTCAGTCAAGTATGCCCTCTGCTCTACAACACATTTAAATGTATGTCACCTTGACCTGCAATATACCACTGTAAAATTTTTTTGGTCAATATAAATCAAATGTACACTAATTTATTCAGTAAGTTTCCTGGGATCTGAATCAACATTAGAAATCTAACTAGTATTTATTATTCTGTTATTGACAAAGGGAGCATATTTAAATGACAACAAGAACACGTGGGTGTCATTTCGAAGTTGAATTGTTCTCTAGGGACATCCTTAGTAAGCGCCTACATTTAAAGGTCATTCACTGCCAAATTATGAACAACTGTTGCATTTATTAGCACAGGCTCAATAGTTTAGAAGCTAGTGTCATCAATTTAAACTGACAATGAAATTTAATTGTCCACCAAGAAAACTGACATTTCCCATATTCTGTGTTTCATTATTTTATGTACACTCCAAACAGAACTGGAACAAGTGCAAGTTTACTCTGGGGTCTTTCCTTGAGTTTTTTTTTGTGTAGGGAATGAGGGAAAATTACTTTCAAGATTTTGTATCAGACGAACAGAGCTTTAGAAAAGCTGAGCTCCTGAAACAAACACTTTTGAAAGAACTGTGTTTCCCATTTATTTTATTGACAGAATCCAATCTCAAGCATTGTATAATTATATTTTTCCCTAATTTTTCTTTCTAATATTTTATATCCCTAGTATTTTATTTCTCTGGTCAAGACCTCCCTTTCTATTTCATAATTGCATTGTAGTTTTCCCTTTGAAGCTAGACAGGAATTTCCACTTTCTATGGCAAGTCATTTCCTCCCTCTCTGCAGAACAGATGGATCTCCAGCCATTCCACTTTCCAAGTGATGCCTAGCCACATCAGGGAAAAAAGAAAATAATCTAAAACAACAGGCCTAAGCTGAAAAGAAACCAATTGGTAAGGAATTCCCATAAAGAAAAGGACAAATACCCCTTTTGTGTCCTATCTTTTCCAGAAGTAAGAACACACAGCAGCAGCCTGCATCCAGGGGAACTGGATTCAGTTCTGCTAAAGATAAGGAACTAGAAACACAGGGATATCAGGGAAGTGTGCTAGGGTTGCAATGCAGAGCCACCATAGAGAGGAACAACTCTCCCTTCAGTCCCTCATTTCATGCAGGAGGTCATCACCATCACTGCTTCTAGCAAAGACGTCAGGACAACTATCACCACGCTTCTCAGAAAACCACCTGCGGCTGCTGCTTGTCTGCAATGGCCCCGGCAGTCACAGGGCGGAAGGCAGCCTCTGAAACCCACCGGCACGTGACTGGGCTGGTGGGCAGTCTGCAAGTCAGCAATCTTCCATCTGCTTCCATCATCCTTCTCTGCTATACACAGTTGCATAAGCTGTGATAGTTCCTTGTTCCAGCTACTCCAGTCCAACAAAACACTTTAATTTTGAGCAAGTTAGCACTCGTGGGAAAAACAACAGTAAAAGGATCAACTGCGTAAAGTGGAACTTCTGTGATCACAGAATTGTGTGATAGTTTGGGTAAGAAGGGACTTTTAAAGGTCATTTAATCCACTCCTTCTCCAATGAGCAGGGACATCTTTGTCTACATCAGGCTGCTGAGTCAGAGTCCCATCCAGACTGGTCTTAAATGTTTCCGGGGATGGGCCATTTGAAACCTCTCTGGGCAATCTGTGCAGGTTTCACTATGCTCACTGTAAAAACTGTGTTCCTTATGTCTAATCTGAATCTAGTCTCCTTTAGTTTAAAAGCACTCCCCTTGTTCCACTGAAAAGGCCTACTACTACAAAGCCTGTCCTCACCTTTCTTAAAAGCCCTGTTTATTGCAAAAATGGAGCACCAAAGTCCTCTCTTCTCCAGGTTGGACACATGAACTCACTTAGCCTTTCCTCACTGAAAGAGGAAAGCAGAAGTGCTACATGCCCCTGATTCATTTCTTGTGGTCCTTTTCTGGACTGATTCCAACAGTTCCCTTTCTTATGCTAGGGACCCCAGGGCTGGATGCGGCAGACCCCTTCCAGGTGGAGTCTCACCAGGGCAGAGCAGAGCAGAGGGGCAGAATCCCCTCCTCTGCCCACCCTGCTTTGGTTGCAGGACACGTTTGCCTTTGTGGGCTGTGAGTGCCCATGGCTGGGTCATGTCCAGCCCCTCACCCACCAGCACCCCCAAGCCCTTCTGGGCACGGCTGCTCTTGTCCCTGCATCCCCCAGCCTGGAGTGATAACAGAGATTGTCCCAGTCCAGGTGCAGCACCTTGCACTTGGCCTTTCTGAATCTCATTAAGATCCCACAGGCACACTTCTGGAGCTTATGCAGGTCCCTTTGGATGGCATCCCATCATTCAGGAGTGTCACTGCACCCCTCAGCTTGGTGTCATCTGCAAATTTGGTGAGGGTGCACTCGATCCTTTTGTCTGTGTCATTGATATTAAGTAATAGTGGTCCCAGTACAGCCCCCTGAGGGCACCACTTGCCACTGACATCCTCTGGGACTCTGAGCCATTGGCCACCACCCTCTGGATGCGACCATCCAACACATCCTTGTCCGTCTAACAGCTGACCTGCAGAACCCACACCTGTCCAGTTCAGAGAGGAGGATGTTATGGGGGCCATGTCAAGGCCTTACTAAGCCCAGGAAAACGACACCTGCAGCCTTTCCCTCGGGCACTGATGCAAAGACCACCAGGCTGGTCGGGCAGGACTCACCCTTGGCGCAGCTGCCCTGGCTTCCTGTGCTCCATGTGCCTTAGCAGAGCTTCCAGGAGATCTGTCCCAGGATCTTCCCAGGCATGGACGGGACACTGACAGGTTGGTAGTTTGAAAGGTCCTTCTTTCTATACCCTTTAAAGATGGGCACTCCTTTTTCCAGTCACCTCAGATTGCGCATGACTTTTTAAATATCTAGGAGAGTGGCTTGGCAATTATATCAGCCAACTCCCTCAGGACTCTGGCATGCATCTCATCAGCATCCTTAGTCTCAGGTATGTTCAGGTTCTTCACGACCCTGATCATCTCTTACAACTTACTTCCCCATTCCCTGCCTTGCAGTCTATCCACTCAAGAACTGTGGGGAAAAGAGATCCACAAATGAAGACTGAAGCAAAAAAAGTTAAGCAGCTCAGCCTTTTCTTGTCTTCTGTTACCAGTTTGCCAGTAGTGTTCATAGGCAGTACACTTTCTTTGGCCCGTAAACCACACTTTTAAATGCTAATGTTGTAAAGCTGCTGATGAAAATGAACATAAAGTGGACTACCTGTATAATTTCATAGCTAGTACAGAGCAACGGAAAGCTTTCATTAACCTCAGTTTTGCTGTAAGGAGGACATAAAGTATACTCCTTTGAATTTCTGCACTTGGAACAATACCCATGTAAATTATTTACATAATCACAAATTGGCAATTAGACCAGCATAAGTTTTTCTCATGAACGGTCCTTTAAAACAGAAAGGAAAGACACAACGTTATTATCAGGGCAGTTTTCCATATCCTCTCCTACAAGCACGCCCAACTCAGACAAACTTCAGCTATACTACCTCATACAGTTTCATGGTCAGCATAAAGTATGATCATGGCTCGTATGGATGTAGAATAGAATCCCCTCACCTGAATAAAATGGCAAAATAATCATGCAGGAAAAACTACCAAAATCTACTAAACCACAGCAAATTTCAGATCCACGAGACTGACTCACCACCAATAAATGACTCAAGAGGAAAAATGCTGTAACAATCAACAGTGTTGTCATAGAACATGCTTGCTCTCAGGATCCTTTTCTTGGAAGACTCCTAGAATCATATAGATTCACTTCTTATTTCTTTGAAGCTTACACAGCTTAACATTTATTAAATTTTAAAAACCCATATCCTCTAGACAGTATTACATTTAAAGAAATAGAAACTCACTAAATGCAAATACTAAAAATAAACCTAACTATGAGAAATACTATTTGTGTCATATGCACATCTTAGAAATCACTCTGTCATTTCGACTAACTGCCCAACTAGGACGTGGTGGAATCAGTCTGTGCTATTGTAATTACACTCAATCACATTTAGTTCAAAATGTTTGAAAGCCAAGTCCCCAAAATCACACAGGTGTCTTGTAGAGAGTCACTTACATTTAAGTCCACCCAAGAGGCAAAAGTATTAATGCTGCCTCACTCCCACATTAACACAATTAAAGTGGTTTACCTTTTGCAAGGCCTGCAAACACTTGCTAGCAGTGAAGACCAAATAATATAGAGCATAAGGAAGATGAACTTGCTTCAAGGAACTATGACTACCTATATGGATTAATCTTCTAGAAGTTCTACAGGATTCAGATGTTTTTTCTAAGCTAGTAAATGAATTTATTTAATAGAGGAAGCAAGTTTTGAATATCCACTTTCAGATAAATACCTTAGGTTTTGGTCCACCTGTCTCCACCAAGCACCATGCGAATATGCTACTGTCCAACAGTTTTGTGAGGTGAAAAAACTACTGAGAACAAAAAGGACCTCTAAACCCTGTGCAAACTAATCTGCCTGTTCAAGGGGAGCCAGCTATACAGCCGGCTACCCAGGACAGTGTCCAGCCAAGTTTTGAGAACGTGCAAGGATGGAGACTTCACAGTCCTCTGGGCAACCTATGCCAGTGCTCGACAACCCTCATGACGACAAGCCAGTCTTGTCATATGTTTAAAGAGCTTTCCCTGTGTTCTGGTGTTTTCCCACTGCCCTCTCTCCTGTCACCGGGCACCAACACGAAGAGTCTGTCCCTCTCACTCTGGCCATTCAGGTCATCGGTACCTATTGAAGAGACATCCTTGCCCCTTTTCTTCGCGAGGATAAGCAGTCCCGCCTCTCTCAGCCTTTCCACATGCAAGAGATACTCCAGCCCCTTCACCTGGACCCCGCAGGGCG